AGGTTTAAGTATCGAGACTACAGCGGGGAGAGCAGAGGAGAGAGAGCAGAGGATGTGAGAGGATGTGGAACAAAGGGTACCCCACAACGGAATTAGCAACTCCCATGAGCCATGTCGACACGTAGACGGCAGGCAGAGGACTCGAAGTCACTGCCAGTGGCTGTAGTAAAGAAGTTCAAGGGACACACTTCTGATCATGGTGACTGTCACAAGGTCGTTCTGTCGAATTCGTGGGTTACATCATTAGAGATGACAATTTGGAGGACATGACCGGACCAGGCCTACTTTGATGAGATCGCCTTTCTGTCATTCATGTCTCTAAGTCAGGGTGGGGCTGGGCTTCTGGTCTCATCATCGTCGAGGCCGTAAAAGAATGTTGGGGGCCTTGGGAACGTCATCAGCACACTTCATGTAAATGGCTACATTCCTTTAAGGCAGCTTTGGGTTTTGGTTAGCTCCACTCTGCTTATGCCAACTATGTGTATACAAGCTGCCTGGAGTTTACTGCGTACGTTGATGCTTGGAGACATGATGAACATGAAGTGACACATGCGCGACTTGAATGCATCATGATGAGCGATTGACTTCATGGTCTCTAAACGTGTATGCTTCTTGTGTGGCATAGTGTTCATACGACTTAATTTAATTTCTTTCAAGTCGGAAATTGAAACATGCCGTTGAATGGTCTGAATCGAGGAGGAGCATGGGAAACCTTCACCCACAGCACAGGATGAGGATTATACATTTCCAAGATTTCATCTCGATGATAACTTTCAATATCATAACCACTTGGAATTTTATATAAAACGAATTTGTGTGAAATATTCATTTGGTGACAACAAGTCAAGTTCTACAATGCAAAATATTGTATTCTTTGCATTTCACATGTTTCAATATGTATTGCATTTACATTTGAATATGTATTTAAATTTTATTTTTGACTAAACATTGAAATCTTACAACCGTTAGTTATACCTCAATTTATGTTAATTGTCTTTCACAATTTGTCTTTCTATTAATTGGGCGTTACATGAAACCACATCAATTTAGCGGCCCCCTAAATCTGACATGGCTGCCGAGAAGATAACGGTGGCGAGTCACAGATGAGCGGGTGTTCCGACAGCGAAGGAGAGAGAACCTTGGAGTACGAGATCACCAAGAGAGGGACGACTTTCTACTTTGCCTACGCCCGGTAGTTCTTTTGCGTGAGCTTGCTATCTTTGACAATGTAAATAGGGTGAAGTATGATAAACATAAATTGAGTTATAACTAGTTGCTCCCAATTTTAAATACAAATTAAAAAACACATATCATATGAATTCCACAAGCTAAATCTATATGCTGAACTCTTTCCGTTTTATCTCGCTTTATGATTCATAATTACACTTGAATATGCTATAAAATATTATTAATAAAAATTATTGTATTGGAATGATTTTTTCTAAATATTTGAATACTATGTAATACACAAAAATTGACATGACTCAAAAACCATAGTAAAATCAATAATCAATGAATAAAATCATTCAAAAAAATTCATTAAAAATATTTTCCAATCCATAGAATTTCACACATTTAATATTCAAATCTCTTTCATTTTATCTGAAAAAAAATTCATAGATTTTTACTTATTGATTTTCAAAAGATTTTTATTTAAGCTAAGCCAAAAATTTATTGAACCCCAAATTCAATAAATTTTCTTATAAATCAATAAAACTTGAAATTTGTTCAAAACTTTATCACAAGTGTAATATCGTAATGTAATGTCTTTCTTAAACTTCTACAATATTTTGATTTCAATGTCACAACATGGTTCATAATGAATGTTCCTTATCAGTAATAGATCCACCTGAAAATTCATAGAAATATTTCTTAAGTCTTTCAAACTATTGTAGCTATCTATTTGATTTTATGCATAATTTTTTTGAATTCATTGCTGTAATTATGATTTATAACTTTAATACGTGATACATGTCTATTAAATATTTGAAGATAGTTCAAATAAAAAAAAAGCATACTTCTAGTTGATATAATGACTCACATTATTTTTTCATGTGTGATAGAGGATGACAAAAATAAACCAATAAAAAATATATACAATTGAAACGTTAAATATAAAAATTAAAAACAATGCAAGAAATTTATACAAATAATTGTTAAAATTTGCGGTTTATGATTTCATTGAATTTTATCACATTTATAACAAAATTTCATTCCTATTTATTCATTGTATATGCAAAATAATTCTTATCAAAGCTCAATTATTTAAGATCTCATTTTAGATGCCAATTGACCAAAAGTTTTGTGATATGATAATGAAATATCTAATGAAAATAAATATAACTGAATTTATTTGGTGATATTTATATGATTTATCATCTTTTTATTAATACATTTAATTTCTATTGGATTGAAATAAATTGATAACGTTTACTGAAGTATGGCGAAATAGATGAAATTAAACTGTGCTTGTAAATTTCCAAAAGAATGTTGAACAAAACATATCATTTTTACGCAACAAAATATATATTAAGTCAAATAACATTCATAAAATTGAAATTTTATTTTTATCACATGTCGATCAGAAGATAAGTAATTTGGGGGTTTCAATATTCAAGATTTCAACTTCATATAATATAATCTAAAATTTATTACATGATAGACTTAATTTTTTTCAAAATCTTTTTATGAATATTTCTAATTTTTGCAAGATAAAACATATTAATATTTTACTTTATGTTAAATCTTATGTGAATCATCATCTGTAATAGTATTTACAGCCAGAAGTAAAACATAGCTTGAAAGAAATATTAGATCCAAACCATATAACATAAGTTATATAGAGTTTAACTATATATCAAAATAGAATATCGATTTATTTTATTTAGCCAAATAATAACCAAATATTTTTGTACATCAGTCTAAATTTTGTCAGATTCATCACTTGAAAAACTCATATGTTTATGATAAGATCATAATGCGATTTGATCTTGAATCCTTATATTAGTTTATTTTTACATCTTTTAGATTTTTTTAAGAAAATTTCATGCAATTATATGTTTTTATAAACACACAGTATTTTGAAAGTCTATCAAAGTATTTGATTTTGCCTTGAAAAAATAGTTTTTGCTTTGTACATCAATTTATCATGAAGACTGAAAGGTCGTAACATAGTAAAGACATGAATTAAGCTTGAGTTAATGACAACTTTACTCAAATCTTGATCAGATCTTGTTAGTTAGTATATGATCAATTGAAGTAACCAACGTAGTCTATGTAAAAGAACTAGCTGAGGTTATCTATGAACAAATCAGGACTTTAATAAAGCTATGTTGTGTTTATGTGAACGTAAATTGATTTACATGAACAGTGTACATTGTGGGTAGATATTATTGAATTTTAGTTTAGAACTGATATCTAGGTTTCAATCTAACATACTATATTGTGAAATTATATATTTTTAAAATCATGATTAGCTTAGCTATTAAAATTCATCATCAGATTAGTAGTTAATCAATGAAATGCTAAATTTTTTTAATTAGATTTTTTTACATTTTCTGATTATTAATTTTCTTTTTTTATGATTAATTACATTAAAATTTTAACTCAGTGTGTAGAAAATTCAACAATTTTACAGTAACTAAATAAATTTTTTTATATATTTCATTTAAAAAAATTGTAGTAAAAATTTAAAATCTCATTCATACTAAGATTAAAGATTATTGAACATATGTGGTATAAATTGATATTATATTTATTTAAGATACTATAATATTACTTTCATGTATGAAGCTTTGAATTTTTATTTTATAAAATTTTATGATTAAAAATATATATTTTTTACAGTGCATATATGTCACAAATGCAAAATGGATCATATTAATATTTTCATTTTTTTAATTCATATGTAACAATTTTCTCCCTGCACGGGCTTGAAGTTTAGAGCTTTACGGTTAAAACTGGCATTTGTAGAAATACTTGAAATATTTGGTCTCTCGATTGTACTGAAATTTTGAATAAATATAACAATCAACAACGAAAGTTAGTGCATTGCTATCATCCTGGTAAGTCTCTTGGCCCATCATGCTTCCATGTCATGCTTTAATGCTCGGGCTCCCCATTGGATTACTCCCTATGTCTTACACATATGCTTACTATGAACAGGGGGAGAACAAACTTGAAGCCAACTTTGTGTCTGAATGATTTGCAGAACTGTTTGTTTTGTTGGCTCACTTGTAAAGTCGTGTTTGTCAAGTTTTTTTCCGCCGGATCTGATCTTTTGCATCATGTGGTTGCAGGCGCTCAGACGAGTAACAGCTTTCCACCACTCTGCAGCCTTCTCCTGCTGCTGCTCGAACCTGGGTGAAAACAGAACGATGCCGAAATACAACAACCAAAACGCGACGAAGACGTGAGGAAGCATACCATACAATACACAGGACCATCTCGAGATGACTCCGGTGGTCGTCATATTCCATTCACTTGCATGAATCTAAAAGGAGTGCATTATGACGCCTCCTGGATTCCTCCTCCCGCATCAATTGTGGCGACTTCAAACGAGGCCTTGTATCGTCAGCCTCCCGAGTACAGATCCAAGGGGTCAACTTATATTCAAAGATCTTGTTGACTCGCTTCCATGCCATATCTGAGGCTTTCAGACCTTACAATTCAGCGTGGATTCTGCCCTCTCGGGGAATCTCCTTTTGCGTGTGTTTCTCCTCATTAATCTCATCTCTCTCGCCGGGCGCGCTGGAGGGAGGGTTGCGCAAGGCAAGTGACACACTCGTCTGCACCGAGCCCGATTGGAAGCAACAGATGTCTTATCTCGAGACAGCACTGGGGGCTCGGGGACAAACTTCGAGTTGCTTCACAAAAGAGATGCATGCGCATGGAGAGGACTTTGGTCGGAGAGCAAAATCTATCACGGGCTAAATGGACGAGAAACGAGACGAGACGTAAGCCATGATCATTGAGTCCACGAGCTTGATAATACAGTAAGTCGGGCCATGAGCTATGATATTTACAATTGCAGCCGCATATCATTTACAATTAACTCCGCACTTATCGCGGTGGAAGGTGAATCACTTTTAATGCGAACCTCCTACTTTATCTCCGAGGGTTGGTGTCCACTTAAGTCCAAATCTACAGGCCCCAATAGGACAGATGGTGGGTTCAGCTTGTCACTCTTCCACGTTTCAAACCGGGAGTCCACCACTGGTCAGAGGAGATGTGCAGAGCAGCAAAAGCAACGGCACGGAGCTCCCTGCCGCAAAGGAGGGATGGGAGAGCGCACTCACCGTTAAACTCAGCCAAACTTGGGGGAGTGTACGGAATTTCTACACCTATTTTTATTGCTCCGGCTTGACCTGGCTCTCTGGAAAAATAGGCGGGATTTGCCGTCGATTTGTGGAGCTTGTCTCACCCTAGTTATAGAAAGAGACCACCGCAACTCAGCCTGGAGAAGAAACGAACCCAGCACTCGGGCGCATGCTGGGGATAGGGGAAGGTAAATGACTATTATAAACGTACCCGGCAGGCTCGGCGAGCGCCATTGACTTCGCAGGCCACAGCAGGGCATGCGACGGATGTCCTCAGCCCACCCCCACTTACATCACACCCCAAATGAAACCACACTCGCCATTTCATCGTCTTCCACACGCGAGTCGCCAGGATATGTATCTGCCTGACGGTCAGACGAGCAGCGCAAGTGCACGTTCGCTTGACCTCCAGCAAGAGTGGTGTAGTGTAGTGTGGAGTGGTGATGTGAGTGTGATGAGAGGAATGAGCCGAAACTAGTTTTCTACAGCTGCGGGTGATGTAGACTACAGTCACTCAGGGCAACCCACATGGGTCATCGATAGAGCTGAAAGACTGTCGTCTGCGTACAGTCTCGAGTCCACTTTCCTCTTCCCCAGCGAGACACTGGGGGGAACCGGGGAAGCGCTGGGCACCAGCTGCAGCAGCGGGAGTTCGCTCGTCTAGCGAGACTGCTGCCAGTTGGGAAGTCGGGGGAGCTGCTGCATCTTTCGGCCGCCGAGTGGCTGTAGCAACGGAGGGACGCAAGCGGGGCAAGGACATGCCACGCAAGGGCGTAACATTCCTCTGGGCGACTTGTTGAAGCACAGTGGCGACTGTCGCAGCGGCTGCCACATCTGCGACCGCTCCAGCTAAACATGTCTCCTCCTGCGAAGCACGCAGAGGGCTGAGAGGATCCGGAGGCCGGACTTGAGTTGTATGAGGATGATGTGGGGTCTGCGCTTGATGCGAGCCACTGCTCGGCACTGCGCAGTGCATCATCGTTCTGCCCATCGTCGGAGTACCGTGCTGCCAAGTCACCCGGGGAGTTGAAGTTGCACGATTATCTCCACGCGGAGAGAGCAGATTGTCAAGAGGCGACTTTCTCATCGCAGAAACCACGGGGCTTTTTGGAGGAATATTATAAGCCTGGTTCGGATTCGTGTTGTTTCTGGAACGTTGCAATCCAGACCGCGAATGTAGATTTCCGCCCATATTCTCTTTCTCGCTCATTTTACTGATCGCCTCTCCTTGGAGGCGACTGTCCTGCGCGCTCTTGCCCATCTGCTCGACTGTCGCAGAATGAATGCTAATCGCAACAGGGGTCCTCACTGCACCAGGTGTAGCTCCCTGCATAACGTCAGGCTGAACAGGAATTGCCGCAACCACTTTCGCTCTGGCTTTGGCAGCTTCGTGCTTTTGCATGTCGTAGAGAATTTCCTTTTGGAGCTGTTTATCCGCAACTAATATTTCCTCGATCTCGCTCTTGTAGTCTTTCAGCATCTGCCGCATGCTGTCCATGAGCAGCCCCAGCATTGGGCTGTTTTGACTTTCCAACAACCTATATCAAATACCTGTCACTGTTAATGGAATTATACAATACGGGAGAAGAAAACAGGTATTCCCAAGTGAGAGAGTACATGATCACAGTTGCAACGATTTAGCAGACTTCGTGCATATTGGACAAATGGTCCAATTAATTCAAATCTAAGACAATGAAATCATCCTGATATAAGTTCTAATAATAAGGTAGCGATCGTGAACAGGCTTTACATTGAAATCAGTAATCATCAACGATCTGAAGCTCCGGCAAAATTGGGAATTCTTGTTGAACTCGGAGATTAAATCAGATTTATCATGTTACAATAACACATCAAAGAGCGAGGGTCGAACAAATGAAGCCAAACTAATCATGTCTGAAACTTTTTACCTCTTAAGTTCAATGAAGATGGGGACTGCATTTTGTACAAGATTCTTTTTCATCAGCTGAGTAACAACCCGTCCTTTCACAGCTGCAACAGCTGCTGCGGCTCCCCCGTCATCGTCCTCCAGCTCAGATGTACCAGCCGAAGCTCGAGGGTTAATGATTCTGAGCTCCTTCGATGCTAGAATCAGCAAAGCGTCCTGGCATGCGCCACAAGGAGAAGTATGTGAGTAATAGGCCTAACATTTAACAAACTTCATATCCACTCCAGGTGTCAAAACCTCGTAGACAAAGAATGGCAGGCACGATCATTGAACGATGTTTCTGAGGGAAAACTCCAGAGCCTGAAAACCAACGTTACATGTTACGGGTCAGGTACACACACGGTTGGTTTCTCAGGCTCTGAAGTTCTTTCCGTAACATTTCCCGCCTTCCTGTTCTGAAAATTCATCTGCTGTTACACCTTATGGACAGCATGCGTTCTCTTCTTGGGCTGATTTTTTTCTTACCTGAAGTACACACTGGCTAGGGCCATCTTTAAGATCAAGCAAACCATCTGCTGCCGCAGCAAGCACTTCTGAGCAGAGTTTTGCAGATGTAGCCAGAAGATGCTCTGGATTCATTTGCTGGAGGAGAGTTCCATAGATTTGCATTCGCTTCTCAACCACATCTGTTGTATTTCCTCTACACACTCAACAAATCAATTCGCTAGTCACGACCCTCCATACTCGCGCACCACGTCCGGTTTATACATCAAAGGAAGACCAGAACAAAGCAGCGGTATCCTTTTAAGGATCTCTGCCCCTCCCCGAGGAACTATTTAAAAAAAACGTTGTGAAGATTGAATTCATATACCTGAGAGAGAAGACTGATCTCTCACTCTCAGGAACTTGCAGCATAGCACTTGAACTTGCTTGTGAGACACAGTCATTCAGGACAAACAATGCTTCCACAAAACTGTTGTAAGCCAGTAGCGGAGCCTTCACTGCAAAATCCGACACGCGATTGAACTCAGTACAATGTTCCCGTGAACATTGTTATTCCCGACATAATAGGATTCATTCACCAATAAACTGAACTAAGACACTTCAAAGGAAACGTGCCAAAATAGTGGAATCTACTTCAAGAAGCAATGTTTAGTAGGAGACTCACATTTGAGTATGCTGCTGAAGACGAACTTTGCCAGCTGACTGATTTTTGGAGAGTCATCTACCAACATAAGAAGGAAACGATGGAAAAGCATTCCCCTCCACTTGACGTAATCTCTCTACAACCATTATCAACAGGGCACTGTAAGCGCCTCAAGTGCTCCTCTTCCGCTTAAATTAACTGCTTGCTTACGAAACAAGCCCGGAATGCTCACATGGAAAAAGTGATGGATTGAGAATGTTAAGACGTACCTGGAGCAACCTCGAGAGAAGTACAAAGGTTTGTCTACGTACAAGTTCACAAGAGTCCTTCAATGATTTCGTCAAATCATGTAAATAGCTGTTAACAAGGGCTCAACACAGGAGATTTCAGTGACGCCATGAGACGAACTTCTACATCGTTCACGCTTGTACACTTGAACAGATTTAACTCATAAAACAAGTCAAGAGTTTCACCAAGTCTGAGTAGATCTGGTTTCCTTGTGAATAATGACTGGCAGTATTCTCACTCAGGGCCTACATACCCGTCTACAAGGGCAGTGTAACGGACACAGAAGTCCGTCATAACAATTGTGATGTTGTTCCGCACTGCTGCTGAGTTTGTTCTTCCTAGTTCCTGATTACCACATCCGACCAGTGGAATTCTTCTCATCAAATAACAGCTGGGCGTCATGAAAAGCTTTGAAAAAGAAGGCAGAAAGACATACATATGCTTGAGACACCGCTGAAGACCTTGAAGGGTAATCTAGAAGAGACCAAAGTATTAACCATGTCTTGTTGACGCCCATACATCCTGGATGTGAGAATTGTTGACGAGGATAGCTCACCTGGACAAAGAGAGGGATGCAACGCTTGGCAAGGGAATCATCAGCTAGGCAAAGCTTGCCGAGGGCCACCCACAGATGAACATAAACCTCGGGAGTCACCTTCTCCCTGATTAAGAGTCTTTGAGCTTCACCTCCTCTTGTGCGTCCAATGACTCGTTTGGCAGTCGTTATCAAAGTTTGAACCAACGTGACCACGCGAGCGTCTTTCACTCGCGGGCATACAAGGGCGAGGGCACCAACAGTAAAAACTACGGTCTCTAATTGCGTTGCTGATACCACTTGACCCTTCACTTGTCCGCGATCCTTATTCCATCTATTTTCAGTTTGTTTGTCCCCCTGCATTTCCCGAGTTTGGGACACTGGGGTGCGAAAGGCATCCTCCGCTCCCTCCTGTGCGGTTCCCCGTGAAGACGGACTTTTAATGCAGGACTCAAGAATATTACCTGACTCCTCGAGGAGCTGCTTCACCCAGACTTCCACAAGCTGATCTCCCTGTTCAACAGCTACCACCTTCCGCTTACAGAGTACAGCGAGGGCCTTAATATGAGCACCAACCTGCACGAACGATCATCGATGAAGGAATGCGAGCCACAACAGCAATAAAATGGACTTCAAGACCACTATCTCAAAGATGTTGCATTATTAGCGAGTAGGAATATCGCTGAATTTCAAGTGCTTATATTCCCATCTTGTTCTAAATTTCAAACTTAAGTACCTCAGCCGAGTGCATATCGAAGGCCTGTAATCTCTCTAGGAGCTCGGAAGCCAGATCTGCAGCTGCATCTGGAGGAAGTTCAACAGCCACATTCGAAATTGTCTGAAGTAAATGCACGCGATTGACAGCCCATTTTGAGGAAGTTCCTCTTGGGAGGGTGCCTTCCAAAGTTTCCGATCCTTGTCCTTTTGCTCGACCGTTTTCTACAGACAAGCCACATTACCTTAGTTCGATGAGACTTGCCCATACGACGAAGAACAAGAACTTGACACTGTATGTGCAGCTAAACAAGGAACAGAAGTAGAGTATGACTTATACAGGAGCTGGAAGTTACTCATTTGCGCATTTTGGTGCCAAGTGAGTTACAGTCCGTTAGGGTAGGTCGATGGATTCAGCTACAGCCCATCGTCTCACATTTAGTCAGGAGGAAAGTCGAGATACCCAGGATCTAGATACGATTTGTATCGTAGATTACATGCTCAGTGTGATAGCTCTTTCTAAGATCAGAGTTGACTTACCTCTGCCATCAAGAAGCTGCCAGTGAGTACGAAGAAATTCCCAACCAACCGCTTTTGGTACGAATTCTGAAACTTCTGACAGCAGAAACCACGCTCCATCCGGAGATCTGTGAGCAGAGATTAAATTTTGCAGGGCGAGCGCAACACCAGGCCTGAGTCGCTTTTTCTTGCCCAAGCTGAAGCAAATGCGCTTCACACAAGAAGAGATTGAACTTCCATCCGCCATTTCTTTCAGAATGCCGAGAGCACCAACGGGTAAAAGCTTTTCCACGTCATCGTCATTCAGTTCCTGAGTATCCTGCGAACTCTGATGTATGCCACGTCCGGTTTTATGAAGCAGTTTGCTTCTAGGAAGCTTCAACGTCGAGATCAAAGATACTCGGTCCACAACAAGCTCTTCAAATAAGTTCAAGCACTCGTCTTGAAGTGTTGTCTCGTTGTCAAAAGCTAGCGGAAGGGCAGACCTAAGCCATTCTCTAGCTACTCTGAGATCACCTGGAAACTTTCTTAGCACCTGCAAACGGGTTGTGCACAATATATTTAGCAAAAGAGCATATGTAATAATGGACACAAGAACTAAAAGTGCGTAAGTTGGTGCTTTTTCTCGTAGCTTTACCTCTGATATGGCAGCAAGGGCTGATTTCCGAATGCTGATCATCGAATCACCGCAAGCAGCACCCAGAGCGTGAAGGATATCATCCTCTGGAGCCTTTCCTAATAAAGTAGTTGATTTTTTCATTAAGACTAGAGCTGATTTTCTAACCGCAACCTTATCATCCAAGCACCTCCTCTGGAGCAGTGACCACAAGTCACGATGTCCTGCACCTGGGGTGAGGGGAGTGGCACCAGGCAAGTCCGAGCTGGGTTCTGGAGATGGAGTATATCCGCCCAGAATAGGCGTATCACCGGTATCACTGCAGTGAAGGGCAGTAGAATTCGCGTTTAGCACTCGAGTACCCTGAGGAGCAATTCCATTAAAACCAAGAAGACTCTGAAGATGGCGACGGGAGCTTACATCCACTGACAGAAGCTCGATGGCTTGGGCTAGATTTGCAAGCGATCTAGCCCGAACTGAGGGAATTTTATCTGAGGACCTGTGCAGTAATACCTCGATGCAAGTAACACCCCACCACTGGTTCTCTGATGAGGAGGCTTCATCGTGTTGATGTCCATCCATGGCAGACTGCCCGTCTTGACAGCCATTGTTTTCCACTTCATCTGCACTCTCTTGAGCTCCGTCTTTTCTAGGTTGAACCGAAGCTCCTTGATTATTAAATCTTGAAGGTTTTCTTCTGCCATTGAAGTTATGGGCTCTAGGACCCCTCTCATAGGGTGAGGGTCCAGATGGATTAGAGCACTCATCAACCAGAGGTGGTGGGCACCTCAATGCATCGGGAAAACCTCCTAGAAGAGCAAGAGCGACATCGACTGCTATCAGACGATGTCGAGGTTTCGAATGAGAAAACTTGCGAATAAAATCGGCAAATTGACATAGATCTTTGATATCTAATGCGTGCAGAATCGTCATCGCACTGTCTATGGCCAAGAGACGTCCATCGGTCTTTTCTGGAGCTTTACAACAGATGTACCGAGGCAAAGCCGCAACTGCAGGCTGTACTGAGCTTCCTCCCGTCTTCAGTAAAGTACGCGTGACAAATTGTAACGCGCAGCTTCGAATGCCCGACCTTCCAGTCCCTCCAGGTTGATTAAGAAGTATTGTCGGAGTAAGCTCTCGGAGTATCATCACCGCATTTTTCAGTGGTTGCCCATGCTTGGAATCGAGCAGCGATTCCAAAATTTGAAAAATGGAATCTGGAATTGATCCTCTTGGAGATGAAATCACGGCTCTTTTCTTCGCGCGCCCGCCGTTTTCTGTGCGCCGGTTCTCTTCATCCTCCATTTCGCTCAAGAGATGTAGCATACTTACCAGCAACTCCAACACCAACTTCAGAGTCTCTTGACGTTCTCTGAGGTGGAGAACAAGTAAAGCTTTCTGCAATTTTAGCAGCGAAGACATTATGTCTTGAACACTTACAGTCTCCGCTGGTTGAGATTGAGCACTAAGCTGACTTGGACTCATGTCAATCTCTTCATTGTCCACGTTCGATCTTCCTCCACCTCGTTGCCGCTTTCCCTTCCTGTGTCCTTTTATCCCTTTGTCCCCTCCCTGAGTATCTATATCTGCTGTGACGTTCAGAGCAGCGGCAGGCACAGGTTTACAACAATTTCGCAGGCACCGGGCTAAGGCATCGAATGCCATTTGACTAAAAAGACTGTAAAGGGGACAGTCGGGAGCCATTAGAAGTGATAAATACACTTCCACGGCTCTAACTCCAGCTATTCCGCCCTTTTGCATTGTCCCCGACAAAATTTCCACAATTGCTCCCAGAGAAACCTTCTTCTCTGCAAGATCATCCCATAATCCACTGAGCTCCGAATTTCTCGATCCGGAGGACTGGAAAAAATCGTGCAAATCGGAGAGTGTCTCGGCAGACAGCGAGGCTCCATGTGCTCCATTGGATCCCACCTGACCGCCTGCTAGCTCATACTCGGTTGAGGCTGTGTAAAGAAGAGATGACAAATGCTGCTCCATTTTTCTCCTCGCAGGAATTGCAGAATGCGAGGAGCATCCACTAATTATTTTCGACTACTACCATGACCAAGAAGCTATTCGCTCTGCTGAATGTCGAGAGCGAGTACATGATGTACCTGCCAGCTAGCACTGCACAACAGCAATTTCATCCCTTTACCTCTCGCGCTTTCTTCACTTCAAGAAGCTCACTGAAAGCTTGCCATTCTTTGAATGATACCCGAGTCCGACGAGATTCCCGATTTGTGACTAAACACAAATAATTCGCAGGAACCCCTGGAGGACTCCCAAACGCGTTCATCTCGCCCAAGACCTGCTACCAGTATCTTCTAGCCTCCTCTACTCTGTCCAAGTACGAACCAAATTTCCCAGCTCCATACTCAACATCGATTGTTCGACTGCTCCGAGGTCTTCTTCAAGGTCCAATGCCTAAACGTTCTACTGCGCATATCCATCAGACTGCAACGCCTTCTTCAAGAGATCGTTTCTATGTCTCTGTAAACGCTGGAGTCAGGGACAGAGAGAGTCAGTTGCAACTGCAACCTCGTATTACACGCACAGCTCCTCAGCTACCAACATACGGGCCAACAAAGGAGGAGTAGCGAAGCATTTGCACATGGTGAAGACACGGGCTCGTGAATGAAGTTGATCTTCCAAGGAAATAAACACTAGAAAACCAACTTGTGATTAAAACAGCTGCGTATACATCAGAGTCACTAGAGATCAATCCCACAGCTCGGGGCAAGGACGAATTGGCAACTGCATCACCCCCAAACTTGACTCCGAATGCTCGAAATTACAGGCAGAGCTCGCCAGAATTGACAGGTTGTGTGTTCGCACATAGCTTTTGACCGAGAACGGACCTTCTACCTCGAGGATTATCAATCCAGTCTGAGATGCCAGACGGATCAAAGAATCTCCGGAATGGCGCAGAGGGCCTCTGGAGCAATAGAAGCTGGGGAATTTCAAAACCCCACCAGATTAGCGAGGCATCTGCAAGAACGTTACCTAGAGATTTTTCTCGTGGCTTTCGACACAAGGCTGTCTTCAATTTAATGCAAAACGGCTCGCAGCGACGACACTTGAGTTTGACGCTTGTTCCGCGGACCGATGAATCAGAGCACGCATGGTCGTCGACACAAACCCGGTTCAGTTGCACGTCCGATTGTCCCGAGCCAGTTCTACGACATCAGTCGGCTTGTCTCAGAAGTGGCGGGCAGAATTCAAATAAGCCACCCTTGGCACTGCTGTAACACCTGCGAGTACGGTTAAAAGGTCTACGTGTACGCCACCTCACCCTGTGACTCGTCACGTCGGCCGTTCGCAGTTGCCTAAATACGACTTCGCCTCTTTGTGAGTTCCTGTAGGCACTCAATTGTGAACAATTTTACTCCAAACATTCCAACTTTCTGTTGCCGTTTCTTTGCAAAGTTAGAATGAATATTCAAATTTTGTGCATACTCTACACAAAAGTGATCAGGTTTGAATTAATCATTATTCAAAAAAATACATCAGTGAAAACATCGTTGGACGTTACCTCATATTGCACACTATTTATGTCAACAAGATTAAGTGAAATGTGAACTTATTCTTACATAGACTTTAAGTTGACTTAGTAACGCGATCAAAATTCCCCATAAATAGTATTACACGTTTGATCTGTACAAAAGATGGTAAATCCAAGCGCTAAAATATTTCTTAATTTCACTGGAATGTAATTCAAATTTGGTCAAACATGGCCAGCAGAATTAATTTTTTTCCCAAATTTGGCCTCCACAAAACTATACTAGTGTTGTATCATGTAGTTATAAATAGAATCAATATTATACTGTGTCAAATCATGTCATCTACAATACAATATTATGATGAAACATATACTATTGTAGTTATTATATATGGAAATTAAATGAAGTTATAAGTAGCTAGATAAAAGCATTCTTCAAAAGTCAAAGATTGAAAATTGATTAAACTATGAACAAACCAATAAGGTAACAATCTATGAAGAATAATAACATTATAAAGCATTCTAAGTTTATTCTTAACTTGGTCAATTCTACTAAGTTTGTCAATGATTATTGATACTTGGGTGGTTGCAGCCATATTGTAGTATTGGCAAAAAATCTTTGAATCAATATAACAAGCATGTATTCATTATAATAATTTTTTCTTGAAAAATCATTTTCTTTAGGTTTGAATTTATTTTTTTCATGCATTTTTTTATGTTTGAATCAATTGTTGTGTGTAATATTTTATGAAATTTTTTTAAAAAAAATTAGTTATTATTTTAACAACAAATTTATACCTAATTAAAAAAAATAACTTGAAATCTATATTGTTTGATAAGATAATGAGATTTATAAAATAAAAATTTGATTTTATAAATAATCAATTGTTATGGTATACTCATAATCTTTAGTTATGTTATATTAAAAGTTTTTCTAACGTTAATTATGTCGTGAGAATACATATCGTTGGCATGCGATACATACTCAAGCGCGCATATATATGGATAACAAGTGTGTCCACATACACAAATGTATCATAGCTAAAAACGCTTGAGAAAGCTTCATTGGCGTTAAACACAAGTCTCACACACAGTAAAGCCAAGATCACTTCACAAGTAGGGAATTTGAGGCTGATGCTAACATTATAGCCAATTCTATTGAGAGCTACTCCTAACGCTTAAGTCTCAACTCAAAAAACTAAACGTTCTTTGAGTACTCACTAGACTCTCAAACGAACTAGATGGGACATTAATCTACTGTCAAGTACCCTAAGCCAATTAAACATAATCCGCCTAGTCCAAATCCTAATCCTACGTGTATGATCATGACAATTTGAAAGAATACTATTATTTTTTTTTCAATTTATTACAATTTACTTTCATATATCACTAAGCTTGAATATTTTATCACATTTTATTAAATTTTGGATACCCTCTTCATGTGTATTCGTACACAAAATCAACAAATTCACAAATTTTTTGCTTGAACATAATATGGATATTGAAACTAATTATATAGTTTAAATTATGTGATATTTTGACTAAAATTAGTATTAAAATTTAATTTTCATAATTAATTAAGCCCAAAAAAATCAAAAATTGTAATAAAAATTACAATATTTATGCACATGTTACATGGCTACGCATCAATTGATTGTTGAGTTATTTAGCATGAATGTGACATATGAAAATAATGTTGCAAGACATGAACATGTAATAAAATCACTATACTTACATAGAACTATAATTATATTTGTTGGTTATATGTGTAATTTTTGAAAATCTAAATAATAATATTATTGATATTTTGATATTCAAAAAAACAGTAATCATTTTTTAGTATATATTTTAATCTATTGATAAATTCAAAATAATGTATTTTGCACAAATTGTATTTTTTTCATGATTATAAGATATAGCCATGTTTTACTTTCAGTTTCCTACATTATTTATAATGTTTTTTAATCTTTCTAATTTGTTATATGCATAATAATTCTTAAAAAAATTGCCTAAATATAATTTATTTGTAAGTAAAAAATTTTGTTGGCAGTAAATGAATTGTGTGACTTAGATGTTTAAACAATTAATGTAGGTGATTCATGGTAAAGTTGATTTCTCTACTCATAATTATTCAAATTCAACAACACAAACAAAAAGTTTGGATTAACACAAAAAAGAAGATATCTCACTTAATATATCTCTGTTAAATGAATGCTCGAGTATATGAAATTGAAGATGGAGGTGATGATTTAAATATAATATTGTATGCTACTGTAGATCCAAAAATTAATTGTCCAAATGATCATTTTTTAGTATTTTAGAAAAAAAATCCAAATATATACATGTTGAATGCAAATTTTTTTTATGATTGCTCTTAAAGTATACTATATTTTTTATTAGTATAACATGAAATATATCTAAAATAAATAAGATATTGTGTGTGTTTTGAATGTATTTAATAGATTTTAAATATCATGGTTGTAATAAAATAATGAATTTTTTAACTTGCTATTAGTGAATTATTTATATATGCATGATTGTGATCACTAGATGTGAGCCTAAGATGAAAAGTTGTGGCTTTTGCATAATACAGGGACAAAAATTATCTGCAATTATATGGATTATGACATTTTGAATTGAAGGAGATAAATTTTTTTTGAGTTTGTTGTTTATAATGATAGTGTATTTTGAATTATTAATGTAGTATAGTATTAAGTCTGATTTAAAAATATTATATATTCTGTTATCTTTCAAAATATACTAAAATCTTCACATGAAATATTGTTAGCACTAGACATCAAGATAATAACAGCAGGTGACAGTAAAATAAGATGGTAAACACGAGAAGACGCAAAAAGGTAAGGTGGTTCTCCACTTTGAGGGGCTAGGTCCACTGTAGAAAAACGCGAGAGAGTGTTTTACGAGTGATAAGAGTGCCATGTAAAGTCAAAGTTTCAAGTATTAAATACCCCGTTCTGGCGATTCCTGGCGAGTTAAACTCAACAAGTATATGAAGATTGAAAACACTTCAAATATAGTAGATATGTTAATTTCCAAAAATATATGGATTTATTTATGTGAAAAAAGAATTAGCTTTTTTTATTATGATATGAGATTGTATTTATGATAAGTTACATAAAATTTTTTTATTATCCATAATAAAAATCACATAATTTTTCTAATTTAATACGAATTTATGTGATAAAAATTAGACTGGTGGTGAATATAACACTTTACGATTATCCTAAAATGGATTTGAATGATGATAATTCAGTATAATATACTTGAGTATAGAATAATATATGCAATATTCTAATAAATGAAAAATAAGTTCAAAATCCATATACTATCATATTTACTTATTGTATGAGATTCACAAGCTTGTAATTTGTTCTAGTTTGTGTACAATAATATCTAGATGAATGTTCATCAAAATATGTACAAAGACATTCATAATCTCAGAGCTTAGGATTCTATACAGCAAAATAATTACAAGCTATGTGAATGAATATTTTTCAAGCAAACTCGTGGATGAGTCTGATGGATGATAGACATACAAAAATAAAACTTTGACAATTTGATGTTAAAAATAAATTTATCAAAGGTGGAAGAGAGATTTTTGACATGTTGTAGATGTCTTCTGTTTAGAAGCGTATACATCCATGATATGTATGAAGCTAACATGTAAACAACTTCACATATCTCCTTCGTATCAAAACATGTTCTTTATGTGGAGCTATGACCTGGACTTTTTTCGATTTTCTCTTTATCCATGGATTAATCTATATTTAATAGTCTATCTTAATCATAAATGAATAATTCAGCTTGAAATTGGATAAATTATGACATATATATAACTTAGGTGATTTTGGGACATTGTTTACAACATGAAACCTTTTAGTTTTGATGTACAAGTGTGGCACAAATTATAGTGTATAAGTACACAACCTCTATTATTGATAGCAAGTGGAAGTTTAACAACCATTATCTTGAATCGCATAGTTATGTACATACATCAAATATTCAGTTTATTTTTAGCTCAAGATTAACACGGAGCTATGAACATTAAAAGTAATGTCTTCAAGCCTACTACTATTGCAACATGAAATTTCAATCTCTTCGACTTCCTTTGCAGCTATTTTCAGTCAAAGCATTTTTACTTGTCTACTTAGAGCACTAGTTGATAAAATTCATAAGAGATGTCATTCACATTAAACATCAAATGATGTTTATCGATATGTTACTAATTGTATATATATAAATTAAATATAAATATTGATTGCAAGAACATTATTTGATCTAGATGGCGGAGACAGTGTAGCACTTGTAACACTTGATGTCCCATCCATGTAACACTTGATGGGGTTTTCTCATCGTTTGTGCTAATACAAACTAGTTTCTTCTACTTGATGCTTTATTAACTTGGATCGTCTTGTATACCTCTTTGGAGCATCAGTATGATCCATTGGTGATGCTAACGGTGGCTACTCCATCCTATCCCTTTGGTTTCGTCCATGTACGAGTTGATGAGAAATTCCTTCTTTTTCTGTACTGCTACAATTTACTTTACAAGAACTGATAAATGACGGCCAATTCTGATATGGAGTAAGTACTTTATGTAAGTGTAAACTTGCATGTATGTGCAAAAGCAAATGCCTTTCCAGTCTAGTCTACTACAGAGAGTTAGTGAAAGCCAAAACCTTCCATTGAAGCTGTAGTGATTAGCGTTGCTTAACCTTAATCGACCGTAATATATAAAATTTTGTATACACTATCCACAATGTGAGTAGGTAAGATTTGGCAGCGCATCGTAAACAAGCACAAATCAATAGCCTACACAGGGACAGTTATGCCTCGATAAATTCGATCATTGCGTGCTCATTTGCAGTGGACTTGCACACACGGAGAGGAGTCTTCACTTTAATTGGATTCTGGCAAGTACGGAGTCAAAAGCAGCCATTGAAGATCGAAAAAGCATAAAGAGGATTGAGTACGACCTGCATGAAGTCCACCTCCAGGACAGTGGCGTCGTCCCCTGTTCTCGAGGCATTGATGGGTGAGCAGCCTGTGAGTTTGCTGCATGCAGATTCGGTTTCGTCCTTGGTCTTGGAGCTTTTGGTCGAGTTGACTTTCGACGGATTCAAAATTAGGAGGATGGGGAGAGGAGAGAAGAGAAGATCCGGAGGAGAATCAATCGGGCACTAAATTTGCAATCTTTCGGACATGTGGACTCCGAGACACTACTCGCGTGATGCTGCGCGCGCTGAGATCGGCGAGTCCGCATCGGTTTGGCTTTTAAAATGCGAGGAGGGGCACATTTCAGCGACGGAATCGACTTCTGCTATCGCGCACCGCCGAGAAATGGCCTCTGGGGCTGGAAGCATCGGTTGGTCCTGCTGGGTTGTCTCTTGGGATTATGACAGGCAGTTCAGACGGCGGGCATTTGCTGCAGTATGCCTGCAACATCGCTGCGGATTGGCAGCCTATAGAGTCCCATCTGGGGGAGAAGATCTGCACAGTGATGGCAGCTTTGCCTATAAATTCCGCCTTTGCTCTGATATGACGTGTATCTGTGGGGCAGCTTCAGTTTCTTGCTCGCCTTCCGACAAGGTTGGGCCTCTCAAACCCTACTCTCTGGGAATGTAGTAGAGTGGGGTTTTTCGATGCGATTCTTTCGTGACTCAGCTGTTCGACTCGTGGATCGATGGCTGCTCATCAGCAGCATCAAACTTTCATCAAATTGTCACTCCGCAACTTTCGTTGCTTGCGTCCGAGATGTCAGCCAGTTTGAAGATTTTTGTTTGCAGCAGTGTGGGGCCACTTTGCGCCAGACAGTAGCAGCCAGTGTGCGCATGTTTAGTTTTCCATGTTTGGAGAAGTTTGGCATTTGTGGGAGCTCGGCTTTGATCCGTGAGGGAGGATTCAGTCGCCAAAAAAAGTTGTCATCAGTTTGTTGATTTCTGCATGTCGTGTTTTGCGCAGGGTGTTCATCACCGCCCGTAAAAATTGAACCGTGCAACGATGGAGATCCAGACGATGGCCACTTCGGTGCGAGGACCCCATGAGCTGGAAGAAGAGCATCACAACAAGCGAATGAGCTTCGTGAAGACCCATGCGATGCGCCTGAGGGACAACGTCCGGTGCAAAAATTTGTGGCAGGAGACGAGCGGAGCGCTGGGTGATCTGGGCACATTCATACCTATCCTGCTGGCTCTGGCATATGTCAATGGAGTGGATTTGGGCACCACTCTTTTGTTTACCGGGGTGTATAATATAGCTACGGGCTTGCTGTTTGGAGTTCCCATGCCTGTGCAGCCCATGAAGTCCATCGCTGCTGTAGCCATCGCCGAGGGTCCTGATCGGCTGACGGTGCCTCAGATCATGGCCGCAGGTCTCAGCACAGGTGCCGTGCTCACCTTCCTGGGGCTCTCGGGGCTCATGACCTTGGTGAACAAGATAGTCCCTCTCCCGGTGGTACGTGGAATCCAGCTCTCTCAGGGCATCTCATTCGGAATTACTGCTGTCAAGTACATGCTTAGTAACCAGGACTTCAAGAACAACAAGAGCAAGGGCGATCGAATTTGGGGAGGCAGCGACGGACGTTTCCTCGCCCTAGCTGCGTGTATATTCGTCATCCTGTGCACCGGTCCAGGTGGTGGCCGTCAGTGTGGATGCTCGGCCCAAGAATCCGAGGTGAAGAGTCGTCAAAGCCAAGATAGATTGAGAAATTCAGCACAAGACAATGGCGATGTTAATGATGTAGAATCTTTGGATAATAAACCTCAGGAGGAGCCACGCAGGAAATGGATAATTCCGGCAGGCATCGTCGTTTTCGTGGTGGGAGTGGTGTTGGCGATTGTCAGGGATCCCAAGACTTTGGGTGCCTTGAGTCTGGGACCATCTGCACTGAAGGTTGTGAGCATCTCCAAGCACGACTGGAAGGTGGGGTTTGTGAGGGCAGCCATTCCGCAGATTCCTCTGTCGGTTCTGAACTCGGTGATCGCAGTTTGCAAGCTCTCGAATGATTTGTTTCCCGAGAAGGTTGTGACACCGCTGTCCGTGTCCACCAGCGTGGGCATGATGAATCTGGTGGGCTGCTGGTTCGGAGCCATGCCCGTGTGTCATGGTGCAGGGGGCCTCGCAGGTCAGTACAAGTTTGGAGCTAGAAATGGATTGGCACCTTTGTTGCTCGGAGCTGCGAAGCTCGTTCTCTCCTTACTGCTGGGTAGCTCTTTGCTTCGTCTGCTTGCATCTTTCCCGATCGGACTGCTCGGAGCCATGCTGCTGTTCTCGGGTGTGGAGCTAGCCATTGCTTGCCGTGACCAAAATTCCAACGAAGACGCTTTCATTATGATCGTGTGCACCGTCGTCTCTTTGTCGAAAGCTAGCGCTGCCATCGGTTTCGCCACCGGAATGGGCGTCTTCATTCTCCTGAAGCTCCGTGAATTGCCCACCGAGTATCCAAAGTGGATTCAGTCGGTTCGCAATTTGACGAAGAAGTCCAGAGTTTGATGTACAGAATTTGATGACGCTGCTTCCAGTTGCTGTCCTCGGTCCCATTTGTGGAAACGAAACAGACGACTTTTCCAAGGTTTCCCCCAGGGTTTGAAGAATCGACGTGGATGTAATTTGCTGCCTTGTATATTCACCAACTGATGTACTCTTTGACTGCGTATACTATATTCGTGAGCAAGTCGGATGAAGCTGGTGTCATTGAAAAAAGTCGAGAATGCTGTGATGGTAGTCGAGGCAACCAAACAAATTCAAAAGAAGTCTGGCCTGGCTGCGAGGAACGAGGTCGATTGCAGATATGGTGAGGTCGAACCAGGTGAAAATGAGTGTAGAAGGATGTTACTCCGATTTAAGAGGATGTGGAGCTGCGATCCAGATTCATCTGCATGTACAGAAGACTGTATTTGTTTTAGCTGTGTATATTTCCCTTCTTCGCATATGTTTCTGTACTTTTACGACAGGCAAGAGTGTTCATTGTCGATCTAGCAATGGGTATAGAAAGTAAGTATCTCTTCAGAAAGGGTAAACATCTTGTTTACCGCAGTGTATATTTCCCTTCTTAGCATATGTTTCTATACCTTTACGACAAGCAAGAGTGTTCATTGTCGATCTAGCAATGGGTATAGAAGGTAAGCATCTCTTCAGAAAGGGTAAACATCTTGTTTACCGCAGAGTTAATATATATCTATCAGGATATGTGAACATAGAAAGTTGTTGACAGGTCCTCAGTGTAAGAAGAAGATACAGACTGTTGTGGTGACGAATGATATTTACTTGAAATTTGGGTTCGGTTCTCACGACTCTGATGCTCGTCGCGAAGCTATGTTTGAGAGCTTCTTCAGACGCTTCTTGTGCAACTGTCCAAAATATGAAATTCTTTTGGCTGTTGTGACCGTACATGTGGCATAGTCTTCTGAACATTCTTCATACACAAAGTAGAACTTTGTCAATAACGAGACGACCAGACATGTATATGACTGATCTGCAGAGTCGGTTCCATAACAATATTATAATCATCTCACAATAATAAACTCGGTCGACTTTGAATAGAGATTGTAGGATAGATCGTAACCGTTGCGTTGCCAAGAAAGATTTCTGGAGTGACAATAGAATATGTCAGTGAATCCTGAAAATAGGCAGGCGTAGAATCGCAGTATACTGTGTCTCCGACTTTTATAAATAAACTTTCAGATGATCCAGCCCTACAATGAAGATTCTCAGAACTCCCACGTGTTGTCCAGGAAGATGATAAATATAACCTGATAAAGAAATGTTGTCTTCACAAACCGGGCAGACAGGGGATGCCTAATATTTTTTACAGAGAGTCGCAGCTCACATCGATGCATGTAGTACTCATGCATCTCCTCGAGATATCGGCCAAAATAATTAGTCCTCCACGTGCAAGCCAAAGAGCGCAATCCCCACATATTATAGACATCAAAGGAGAGGACAAATCTTCCGTTGCTCACCACCTCGCAGAATTTTGAAATTGTTTACAGAAAGGGCATACGAGATCCTCAAAAACTTCACTGGAAGTAGAGCCTTGTGCAATCACCATGGAAATCCCACCCCTGGAAGAAAAATCTTGACGAGCTGTGAAGACATGAACGAACTGCGGGGGTTTGTCCTTCTAGGACTGCGTTGACGAGCTCTGCAGCTGCTCCTCATCGGCAGTGACTTTGGAGCTGTAGAAGGGAAATTCGAAGAGGAAGACTTGCTTGAACCAGAGAGGCAAATTCCCATACACTGCAGGGGGCAGAGGGATCAGAATGCTGGTGACCTTCTTGTACTGGCGATAGTTGGCATTGCTCATGTAGCGTTTGTCGGCCGAGGACTCCAGCAAAGGAATGCCGCTGAGGAAGAGGAGAATGCAGGACAGTAAGATGGGGCCGGCCACCACAGCCCATCGTCCCTTGTCCAGCACGGGGGTGGAAGCTACGAAAATACCCCACCACAGCAACATCTCGCCGAAGTAGTTCGGATGTCGAGACCAGCTCCAGAGGCCGGCGTCGCACCATTTTCCCTTATTTTGCGGATCATTTTTGAATGTCAACTTACTCTGATCTGCCACCGCCTCGACGATTACTCCCACCGCGAACATCACCCATCCCACAATGTCCTGCGCCTGGATCCCAGGGTTCCTGCCGCTCGAGTTCACTATCGTCACAGGCAAACTCACTGTCCACACCCAAATCGCCTGGAAAACCCAGAACAGGGCGAACTTGCACAGATTGTTGCGCTTGTCATCAAATCGCTTGTCCTCGCCCCAGTTCAGAATCCTCAACAGGAGGAAGAGTCCTAACCGCAGCCCCCACACTAGCACGAACGTCGTCAAAACCACCTGCCGGAAATAATAAGCGCCTCGAAGAACGAAGGTCAAAATCGCGAGGACGACGAAATTGGTCGTCCCCGCGAAATCTGTGACCTTGTCGAACTTGAAGCCTGCAGCTACCACGAAGAACAAGAATTGGTACAGGACAGTAACACAAGCAGTTATAGTGAGGAAAACAGCATCCCTAACTCCAGGGTGTGAACCCGGCCAGTCCCGGCCGGCCATCGCTGCACAAGGACCCGAGGTGCGCCGAAATGTTGCGACAGCTCAAAATGTCGAGCCCAAAGATGGTGTGCCAAACTCCCGCTTCAAATGCAAGAAGCCTGTCTGTCTGTCTTCTCTCTCTCTCTACCTCCCTCCCTCCCCACCGACCGACTTACCGAGCGACCGCCCCTCGCGAGACAAATGCCGACGAAGATCTGAGACCTAGAATTACGGATTTGGTTCAGAGATGATCATAAAGTTCATACGTGCAAATCTCTTCCTCGCGTCTCCAACGATCGCACGAAGTGCATAGTATTTACAGCTTCGGGAGCAGACTGAGTTCCAGAGTCCAGGTAATCGAGCCTTGTTGGCCACACGGACGCCACTACTTCTTGCAGCTGAGCCTCGTTCACGTACACCCGATGGGCCAGCATGGACTCTAGGCTACACAAGCGGCCATGAATGCCAGAATGATTTCTGATGGTGAGCAGCCATGAGCTTGCTTCATCTGAGGTACAACTCGTCTTTCTCGGCGACTGCAGACGTTGAAAGTGTTCTCATTCGCCACGGGGCTGAGTTCCAGTTTGTTTGTAGCAGTGCTCTGGCACGATCAGAGTAAAAGCGTTGGCAAAATCTGAAGTCAGATTTAGCTTACGTAGACTTCCGATTAAATGATTCATCCAACTTCTGTTATAACATCAGGTTCATGATGGTGTCAGTGTCAAGATACCACCGAAGACAATTGGGATGCATTGTTGACCATGTAAGACGCGAGTCAAGATTTCAATGATCAAGAACAAGAATGTTAATGAGAGGAACTGCCATATTCAGGATGAGTATTTTAGCAGAAACATAAGAGTATATATAGGTGTAGGCTTGTGTGCGTGACATATTATCCATAAACTTCCCATAGAGCAATTGAGAAGGTATGAATGTAAGTGTTATGAGATCATAGGTTCCCCAATTCTCTCAATTCCTTACATTAAAATCTTACTGATTTTAATACTTGGTCAATACAAGTGCAATCATTTTACAGTTCATTTCAGAACGCTTCTAACCAACGAGCAATCAAAACAAAACACGTTCTGTTTTGATTTGCATATAATAGATTGATTCTTAGATTAATTCTTATAAGTCTACTTGTTATCCATGTAAATTCCAAAACATAATATTTTTCCAGACATATAACATCACTGTTTGAAGTGATGTGAAAATATAAGATATTTATATATTACTTGAAGAAGGGTTCAAGTTCCAATGTTTATGCTTGAGTTTCTAGTGATTTCTCTATCTCGACACAGGATTAGTTTCCCTAAAACTTTGATCTGTATGGTTGAGGTTGATTAGATGTTCATTACTGCTAATATTTGACTGATCTCTGATCTTTATCTCAATTGTAACCTGCAGTTGCAATTGCTGTAAAATTAAAATTGATTCACTTCAACTTTAAATGTAATTATGCAGACCTATCTTGAACAAGTGGCTATCAGCTCAATCCTTTCGACGTGGGGAAAGGACATGGAAATGCAGAAGACAAAGGACACGAGTATCACCCCAAAACGTGGAAACGATACATCAACTCATAATGTATGAATTCAGTCTGATCGATGAAGGCTTACATCAAAACTTTGAGGAAGTTTCTTGCTTCAAATTCCTCCTTTTTGTTAATGATATAAAATTTTAAAAAAACTTCACATCATTTGAAAAGGCCGCATGTGATATTACATACTTAATTGCTACCCTTGGGGGAACTATAATCTCATCACACTTATATATGTGATATTTTTTCATATATATATATATATATATATAACTATTGATGTAATGAGTCGACTTTCATTAGTTTAATTTTATGAAGAAGAAAGAAACCTCGGTATGAATAAATTGTGATGAGATCTGAAAATGTCAAAATAGATTAGTTCTTCATTGTAGGGTCTTATGTAATATTCAGACCACATACGAAATCATTCAACGGAGGACTCTGTATATCCAGATTAACATTGAGTACGTGCTGTTGAGTAGTGCTCACATTCTTTAAAAGGTAACCGTGGTTCTTAAAGACACACTTATTGCAAAAACTAAGAACTGTTTCAGAAAAAACATTGGAAGGGTGGCGGTCACTTTGGCGGTCTCACACTATTCCAATATCAAATGTGTTTAATGTACTACCATGAGCTCATGAGTGGTGAAATATCCGCGCGCGAAAGGACCAGACCATTTATAGTTCAACTTGAAAATTGTGAATCTCAATTCTCCTTGGGTAACTTATATTGGGACATTGGCACAATGGTAATAGCTGGATGGTACTGAATGAGACCGAAGTTGTCTCCACGACAGCACTCTGCTCTAATTCAGTATTGCAATGTATTGGTGTTTTCGTTCTAAGTTCTGATTTTCTCCGAGTTTGACAGAAACTTAAAAATTGCGAGACTCGAACACAAAAACTTCTATGTTGTGTGTGCAGTATAAAACCCCTGCACTAATTTCTGCCCGTAAGTTCAATGTAACGTGTACTGTCGGGGCAAATGAAGGGAAAGCACAGAATATTGTTTAGATTTGCGTGAAAATTCAACGAGTTATGTGTGAGCTTATTGTCATTGAATAAGTGAGTGACAAACGATCTTCATTTGGTAGAGAGGTTTTATCAAACACTATGTTGCTGAGCACTGGAGACCAAGAGCAAGGTTGATGCATTGGGTAAATCTTGCCTTCAGACTTCTTATAGAAAATGACGGCTGCCTTAAGGTGTACACCTTCTTCTATACAACTGAAGTAATGATAGATAAGATCATCTGCTGTTGGAACTTACCAACATGTTACATACCCCGATCAACAGTCCCAGGTGGCGTTTTGGATTCCACCAGGGGCCGATACTTCTTGGTCTTTGACCCAGATGCACCAGTCCGCTACCTGGTAAGGATAGAAGTCTTGATCTGTAACACTGATAAATGGTAATAGATCGAGCCCGGGGACCGAAAGGGTCAAAAAGCTGAATAACACAATACAAGCGACAACCACAAACAAGGGAAAAGACCCCAAAGGCCAATCCCTACCTAGTGCTCTTGGCACTAGCTAGGACTGAAATCCAGAATGCAGTCATCAGGCTGCAGATGTGGTGATGTAGGCTTCTTGCGGAAGAATGCATAAATTTAACTAGTGCCGCATGGACTGAACCTGTTGACCGCCGCTCTCGCATGTTCCGTAAAAATTGTACTGCCCAGATGTCCGCTGGTTCAGCAGATGAAAGGTATCTGCATAAGACCTCGGAACAAATTCAAAGGTCAGAAATCAGAAATCATTACGGCGCTCAGATCCGATCCAGTTCCAGCCACGGTGATATGGTGGGGCAAGATGATAGCTCCAAGGCACTGGAATGTCGGCGATTTTCGGATTGTTTTTACTGTCGCTGAGCCGACCGTCCATGATCTACTTGCTCTGCTTCAGATCGTCCATAGATCATAGACAGTCTGACATTGATGGGCTCTTAGAGTGTTGTGTTCCGAAAGGTCTAAAAAATCCTGATGTACTCAAAATCACTTCCGGTATACAATCATCACTAAAGGGATGAAGAAACAGCAGATCCTACAATCAAGAGCTTCGTTTCCACATGGTTTCAACGCCCTGAATAATGTTGTTAAGATGCATGAATATTGTGCGTCCCTATTCGGCTAAAGATGCTCATAATTTCGCACTAAAAGAGTGACTACCAAGTAGAGTCTTTGCGAAGATATAAACTAATCAGTACATATCTCTGAATCTTGGAAAGAACATTCAAATCGAGAAGCATTCATGAGATGACTACGGCAGTAAACGTTTAGTACTTCACGGCAGATGAGTGCGCGATCTCGTATCAGTTCTGCTGTCAGTAGAACGTTCTTGCTGAAAGAGCCAATGCGAGAGAGAACAAGTCCAGTGACTCGGAACAAGATGGTTTATAAGACCATATCCGTAAAACTTTATACACGACCAGCTTACTGAAAATGTCAATCGCTTCGTGAGAACAAGACAATCGAGAAATTCTTAGAGCTGATTAAGATAAACCTGTAAAACTTTAAAAGGGCATGCGGGATAGTTGTCACCAATAATATGGAGTCAATTTGATTGCCAACAAGAAGAGTCATTTAGACTTCGAGTTAAATTATGCTTTACGAATGAAATTATATCCCTGCAAAAATTGATCTTCAAAATCAAAAAAATCTTTACAACAAAAGTCCAAGTGAATGGTATTAAAACTCCTTCCTTTTTTCGCTCAGTCTCGAAGAAGACGAAGTCGAGCATAATACTCTTTACTCTTCAAGTTGTAAGTAACAAGCATATAATTATGGGATGTAACATTGAGTGGAGTAAAGGGGTTTCAATAGATCAAATGGACAAAGCGAATATACAGTACAAATATAATCATAGAAGCTGAATAAAACAGAGAGTTTACAGAGCAGGAGATCTCGCATTCTTCTTTACTGGCATGACTCGAAAGTAAAAGGGGGCTATTGTGGGAAGAACCCTTCAAGCTGATTTAATATATCAAATGCCTTAACAGGAGGTTGCTCTTGCTCTAGCATATGGACACGCCGTTCTTGTTCTTCAGGGCTGTATAATCCGGAACGGATCTAGCTCCTTTCTGAACAGTTAGACACAATTAGTAGACACAATCACCAAATGTGTCATGACAGTGAACATGCTCATAAGTTTTGGAGAAATGTGTCTGGTAGAGCTCTAACGCCACACGATCGTCTGCTTGCAAGTTGAGTAGAGCCAAGTATGCAAGTACACCATCAAGAATAGCATCATAAATGGAAATAACATTCTCAGTCTAACATATCTGGATTATTAAATTCAAGCGTTGTTCAAATAACACTGTAATGTAATCACGTTCACAGAAATAATCATCACATTAAGTTTAAGAACGTAACAACTCTTGTAACCTAGTGTTATAAGCTCTCTGTCACGTACATAATTCTTTACTTAAAGCTCAATAACTAGTCTAAACACAAGTGAATAGCAAGGATTGTCGTCCATAACGTCACTCTCCTTCCAAGTTCCAGCTTGGTATCTATTTCAAATCGCTTTGAGTGGACGAAACCAATCAGGTTTGATTATTGCTAGTGTTATCTCCAGCTATCTATCATACGCAGATGTCGATGTGTGCTAAATCGAACGCCCGAACTTCTAAATGAGAACGACAAATCCTAGAATGGAAGTAAACTGTTGGTTTTACTCATGTTTGAAAGTTTTAATCAGGTTTGATTCGACGACTTTCCAAGGAAATATGCACGTGGTTCTTAGATTACTTTGTTTGATACTTTGATTATATTTTAACTTAGTTGCATCTGAATATGAGCATGTACAGATGAGCTCATGTGTACATATTGCTCATGTCTGTACAGCAGTGAAGCTTACTCCTCTGCTTCGTAACAACGATGGCCAATAAGATACGTTCTTACAGTGTCCAATGTTGGCTATTGTATCCTGGTTGATATCGAACTTATTAAAACCTTGAACCCCAACCCTGAACTCCCAAGTGCATCTTGGTGAACCTGAGAATTAAGTTGAGAATTGAGAACCTGAGAACAAGAGTTACGTGCTTTCCATATTGCTTTCTCATGATTTGTTTGAAACCGACTTATACATGTCATCCATTAATTATGATGGTACTCAGTAAGAGAAACGAGCACAGTGTAATATGGTATATAATTTCCATCAGCAATATGGACATGATGTTGAGTCCTGGACAACTACATGCTCAGTGCGAGTGTCGGCTAAGTCCAAGCGAGCAAGAGCAAATCTAGCACGTTCCCAGCCTTCTCAACCCTGGAAACAGTATCTTTGAAGGAGCCCATGATCTCAAAATATAGCACCATACAGTCGATAGCAATTTCCGAATAGATGCATTCTCATTAAAAGAATGGTAGTTGGACGTGAGAGATCTTCGGAGATCCCTCAGCAGGTAGAGAAGGAAAACCTTTAAGTGGATCTTCAAGCTAAAACTGAACCCTGATGAATCTGTTCCAAGGTACAAACGCTCGACTCGTAGCTCGAGGCTTCACGTAGATATTTGGTTTAGACAATACCAATACCTTTCTCACCTGGGGTAAAAATACAATCGGGAAGGCTGTTTCTCGCAATTCCTGCTGAAAACAGTTTGCATGTGCATCAGACGGGATTTGAAACATCGTTTCTAAATGGTACAACTAGGAGATTTACTTACAAACGCCAGAGGAAGTGAGGCCTCCTGAAGGTAGTCAGGTTTGTGAGCTGAATCAATTCCTGGTTGAAGCAACCGTCGAATGAATGGAAATATTTTCACTTGCTGACCAGTTCCTGAGAAGCGGGAATTTAATTAGTACAAGGGTCCGTTAACTGGGCAACACTATGCACTTTGCCAGACCTGGATGGCAACGTGCCACTGAAGTCAAAGGATCTTCGAGAATATCAAGGAGACTGCTAACAATTTCAACGAGTACAAGGCCTCACTGCGACATACTCCCCATGTTTGGCTGTACTGATGGAGACTGAGCCGGATAATAATGAGAACTGGAGAGATACCTCTTGATAAGTCATTGAAGTTTGTAGCAGTAGGTTGCAGTAGCAAGTGTCACTATCAAGTGGCACTTTCTACTTAACCTGAGTACATTCCCTTACTAGCTGTGCAGCGGATGGAATCTGGCTGATGGATACACTTGATGGATGACATTAGTCTGCTTCGGGAAAGAATGAAATGTATGAGAACTCCTGTCATTTGCAGTGATGGTTTCTGCAACAGTACCACTGGGGCATATGTGCGAACTCGACTCGTTTAAAGCGAAGATCTTCTCGACACTTGATGCCGCAGTTCCTGTAGTAATCTTCTAGGAATTGGCGTGTACTTTTCCAGTCAAGTCAGAGTAAGTCCTGAATATCAAGTCCAAAATATAATATTGCCAAATATATCCCACCTCATACATCCCTCACAGCTTCGGCATTTTGATGAGTATTGAAATGTTTGCCAATTTAGCAGTTGTTCACACAGTATAAATTACGAAAGTGAGTACTAAGTTACATTGTGCACCTCTCCAGCTGGAGAGGAAAGGATGCCCTGCATCCTCTACGCGCCTCACTTCTAAAACAATGATGGAGCATCTTGGACAACAAATTTCAGCGGGAACAGATACCTATCACTTCTACTAAACATACAATTCTTTTCCTGATCTTCCCGATCAGATGTATGAATGATTCCCAACCAGCCGGTCTATTTGAGCTATCTACAACCTTGTACACTAACCATCACTCCTCTTAGCTTACTGAATGAGCCGGGACTTCCTTCGGGGTATACGTTCAAATGACTGAAGTACGTGTTGGAAGTATAAGAAAAAAAAAGTGGGAACTACAACACGACCTCGTTGCCTATTTGCCACGGTGGAAGTGTTGTAAGCTTCCACTACCGTTCGTTCTAGACCCTAGGCTTGCTTGCCTCAAAAGCCTTTGAAACTCTGGTAAGCTTATCCTTCCATCTCCATCGGTGTCCGCTTCTTCCAACAAAGTTTCCATATTTCCTTTCGTCCCGGTGGCCTGCAACACCTTTTAGTTTAAATTACTATCAGCTTGGCTTCAAAACTAACGCCTAGCTTCATCAGAACTTGCTCGTAACGCCAGAGGGAAATATCTTGTGACACAGGTTTGTCATCACTCCTAGGAACAAGCATTTGCAATTTTTCATGGATGATAAAAAATGGAATGATATTTCATAAGACCTTATGAACAATAACAACTTCCCATCCCATCAAACTGTAACAACGTCGGCCTAACGGAGAAGGACGAGCTCACTTACAACTTTGAGTTCTTCAGCTGTGATGAAACCATCTTTATCGAAATCAAACTTTTCAAAAGCAGCTCGTGAGCGCCGTTGCCACTTATCAGTATCAGATTCCTCCAACTGGTGCACATGTAGCGTAGCTGCCACGAACTCATCAAAATCGACCATTCCATCTCTGTTGCTATCCATCTGCACGGACCCAACAATGACCAATTGACAATCAGGAGGCGATGACGCAGCCGCAACGAAGAAAAGGCCGTGCATACAATTCCGCAATCTGAACCTTAAGATGGTGACCAATTTCTCATCTAAGATGATAAATCGAGACAGGGGAGGGGCCCCAGCGTAGAATTCATATCATATCAAATTGACAATATGTATAAAGCGGGTGTACTTACTGCTTTCAGGATTTCTACAACTCGAGTTTCTTTCACGCTCCAAGGCGTGTCTTTAGCGAGGGCCTGTGACAAAAAAAACGGATGGAAGGAAGAGCAAAATTAGTTTCCAAGACGCGAATTCAAATTTCTACTTTTACCTTTGGAGCAAACATGTACTTATTAGAACGAGAGCTTTTCGGAAAATAGAAGTCTAAAGATTTCTTACTTGTTTGATTTCCTCGAGAGTTATTGTTCCGTTTTTGTCCATGTCAATAGCATCGAATTGATCCCGCAAATCTGCAATTTCTTCTCCGTCCAGAGTGCTAGCCAGAGCCTACATTCCAGAAATTCTCGCGTCAGGCATGCTTCGAGGGTAAAGGCTGAACGGTGACAACTCGAAAGATCGCTAGGGACACTGCTATTTGGGGAGAGCTTATGACGAGCGATGGTACATGCTAGTCTGAATTAGTTAGTAATTCTCAATTGACATACCTTAAGAGCCATTTGCTTGAGTCGACTATATTTCACAAATTCACGCATATTTGAAAGAACTGAGATATCCAATGGAATATCAGAAGCATCTCCTCCTTCCCTGGCCCAGGGATGTGCTGCAATAGATACACCAGTCCAATTCGATGAGATATGATGTCGTCATTGACGAGAAAGACAAGAAGACCAACCATCTAAGCTTCCGCCATTAAAGAATGTCACTCAGTGCTATGAGTTTCAATAGTGAAAATAACATGTGACGACATGCAACTCTAAATTGGCAATTCCCAAAAGTAATCAATATAGTTAGAAACCTACACAACGCTTGTGATGCAGTAAGTCTCGCCCTCGGGTCCTTCACTAACAACTTCTTCACAAAGTCCTTAGCGCTGGCGCTTATTGACGGCCATGGCTTTTCCTTAAAATCGGGCTTCTTCTTCAACACCTGCATAGCATTTTCGACGTTAGATGTTTAGAGAGTTTATTTTAAGACACAAAAGGTTGAATTGGACTCGTGATGCTTTTAATTGTAACTCACAACCGTCTATACGAATCAGATTCAATAAATAAATTTCATATCATATTATTCTCGAAGATAAGATTGATTCGATCACCGTAACGACTAAAAAGCAAAAGGCTACAAGACACACAACTAAAATTAATCAGTAGATGAGGTTCAGATCCCCGATCTGGAAATAGTTATGGTGGGAGAGCAATGTACCTCATTGAATATACCCTGTTCTTCTTTAGCCCAAAAGGGACGTCTTCCACATAGTAAAATGTAGGTGATGACCCCTATGCTCCATACATCTGACTCAGGTCCTGATTTTCTTCTCAAGACCTCGGGAGCCACATAGTATGCGCTTCCCACGACATCTTGGAATCTCTTCCCTGTGACGAAAGAGAGGAAACACTCAGAAGGTAGCTTCTCAAGTCCAAATTTGCAAAACATGAATCCCCTCCTTCCGACAAACATATCTTTGTAAAGCAAAAAGTGGTCCACAAAATCCAAAGACTTTGTCCGTCTCTGGAACTGTCTTTATCTGACATCGAGGGGGCAGAGATTCCGCACAATTCCTCGTCCACGTGGGAAGACTTAAAGTGATAAAAGGTGTCGCATATGTGTTGACCAACTGACCTATCTTGATGTAATCCGAAAGACCAAAATCTGTAGCTTTGAGCGGTGAGTCCTCTTTCTGAGACTTGAACAAAAAGTTCTGCGCAAGAAAAAATTATAAATTAGACCTCAATGAGTGTCCGTGTGATGTGAACCGAGTCCAACAATTAAAATACTCAAGTACGCAATACGCTGTAAAAGTTACTTCTTAGTGATGCGATTTAGCCAACGCGACATACCTCTGGTTTCATGTCACGATGAACCACACCATTGAGATGGCATCGGGCTGCGACTTTCAACATCTGCCTTACAATTTTTGCAGCATCCTTCTCACTGTAACGGCTGTCCTTCCTGACGATTCGCATAGACGACAATACAACCCGTTACATTGTGCCCATGTGCAGATGAACATCTGTTTAGCGAAAATTTGCACCTCTATTCTCCAATTTTTCTAAGATTTGCAGCAAAAATTTTCACCCGCTAGGGCATTAGCCAGCAAGAACAAAGTTCTTTAAGAGCATGGATTAATCAGCTAGCACAAATCCTTGTCTGATCTGATTTTCCAGCTAAAGAACTTAACAGGAGACTTGAAATAGGTGGCATTCATTATGGGTCCACACATCGACAGCTGCTTTTGATACTTACTTTGAAAGAATCCTGTCCAAAAGCTCCCCGCCTTCACAAAGCCTGTTGATTCCGATGGATGTGAGTTAGTACAGCAGACTTTCAGGGCTTTCTTGGAGTGCGATTGGATGATGTGAAGATGTATACTGCGACTGTTAGAACTAGATTCGTATAAGACAGGACAATGGTGACATTCTCCCCATCTCGCAGCGCTGATCCATAAATTAAAATCTAGCATTCAATTGCTAATCTAGCTGGCCTAATGTGTAAGACTTGCCCGTTACATCCCGCGTGTCAAGTTCTAATTGCCCTAGCACAGAAGGTAATCATCAGAATAACCGATCGATCGTTTAGCTAATCTCATTTTGATCCCCGAGGGTTGCTGAACAATGCAACGTACGATAATGGAGTACGAAGAAACAACTATCAGCCTCCACTAAATCCTTGAGGTGCATTACGGCATTGCGCATAGATCGTGTTGGTCGCAAATCTCACACATACAGTTAAACAGTAAAAGAGGAAAACTGGTACATCTGTCATCAAAATGCAAAATGCAAAAGCATGAAGCATGAAGCATGCAAAATGCGAAGCAAATGATATCGAAAGTGAAGATACATACTCCATGACAATGTAGACGAGGTCATCATCTTCAAATGCTGCATGAAACTGAACAACATTCTCGTGCCCTGATAGCGTTCCCAAGATCTCCACTTCCCGCTTCACGTCGTCCACCGATATTGGCAAAAGCATCTGCAATCGGCAATGATGTAAGTTTCATGAACAAACCAAGAACACTACCACATGTGAACAATAAAATATCACTCCTTCCGTCCTCAAATCACGTCGTGAGGAGAGTAATTCATCTTCCAAACACAGAGCAAGGGATTGATCCTGGCTCAAAGCACAATAAACCTACGACATCCCAGATCTAACGATCAGAACACGCGAAATATACAGCTCAGATTGGAGCTGTATGTGCCCATCTGCACATTCATATTAACAACATTCGTGCAATAAACTGTGCCCAGGAAAAGTTAGAACACGTCGGGAGCATGAAAGTGACCTGCTTCTTCTCGATGGTTTTTACTGCCACCTTGAGCCCTGTACTAATTTCCACAGCGGCATAAGTGTATCCAAACTGTCCATGGCCCAGAAGCTTTCCTAGCTTGTACTTGGTCTTGAATTCGCGTTCGTATCCAAAATTGGTGCGCTTGCCTAGGGGGATGGAGGCCTGACTAGTATTATCCTTAATATGATTGACGGTGATTCTCGATCGTTTCCTCTCGGTAGTCTTCTTTTTTGGTGTGTTATTTTTTGTCGGAGACTTCCTCGGCGTAACCTTCTTCGGTTGTTGAGGAGGAGCGCTAGCGTTAGCTGAATTCTCGGCACTGTCCTGTCCCGCAACCTGTTGCGCCTTTGCCTTTCGGGCTCGGCCAGGATGTGGTGCCGATAAGCATCCACCCATGCTAAATCCTGTACAATTCCTCGGGTTCTTGCCTCCTTCCGCACACTCGTCCCTCCTGTTTTACGCAGTCTCTGCTTCTTGTGTCACGAGCAAAAGCCCCACCATTACCAATTCTAAACGGCGTTCTGATCTAAACCTGCACTAAACCTCTAATCTACCTCTCTAGCTCCCGCTCCTTCATCACTACAAGAAGTCGAAGTAAAATTCTTCGAATCCAGCGCCTTTTCCTTCTTTAAAGCTTCTTCTTACACGCTTCCCTTGCACCACCACACTTTTCTGTTGCCGTCCCCCTGCTTCCAACGTTGTCCTGCACCAACTTCGTGCACCCCTTCTCTTCCCAAACTACCTTCCTTTCGCCTTCTCTAAACCTTTTAGACCACTCTCCCTCTCAACCTCACTCTATGGCTTAATCCCTCGCTCGCTCACTGGGTCTCGCAGTCCCTCATACGCATACGCACACTCTCACTCAGTCTCCCTTCTCTCTATCGTCCGCTCTTCACGTGATGACCAACACCTCGGCCTCCAGGCCTCTCGAGGTGCAAATCAATTCCAATCGTTCTCCAATTGACGATCAGCTCGCGATCCGAGAAACCGGTCTCTCGCACACCTCGCCTCTCTATTGTCCATGCTTTGCAACAAGGCAATTCACACTCACTCTCGCTCACAAGCAGCGCACGCGCAGCTCCTCCCGAGCCGAGCTCAACGTCAAGCCCGGACCAGCCCCAGCCCCAGCCCAGCCAGTCAGCCCCGATTGGAGTCGGTCAGTCGGAGCAGCCACACCAATCGCGACCCTGTCTGTCTGTCTATCTGTCTGTCAACCAAGTGCGCCCTGTGTATCCCCCCAGCCAATTGCCCAGCCCGCTCCCCGGGAGCTGCCGCTGTGCCAGGTCGTCCTTCTCACCAGATTGTTGCACGATCGCCTGAAACCACTCCTCGCATGTGCAATGCGCATGCCCCTCCTTTCTCGATCTCGATCTCGGTCTCCTCCCTGGTATTCATCGATTGATCATCCCCTCGCCTCCCTCCCTCTATCAATCACTCTCCCTCCCCGACTGGCCAATCAAAGACCAAATCAATTGGCACCCTGCCTCCCTCCCCCTCAATCTCTTGCCACCTCCCGTTTTCCCCTCCGCTTTCCTTTCCTGTCCTTAACTCTCCCTCCACTTGTACGTGGTCCGGTCTTCTATTCGGTGACTTTCTCCTTCCGCAGATCGAACGAACCGATGAACTTACGCATATTCCCTCCCGGTCCTAATCCAAGAGCAGGAGTAGTAGCAGCATCAGATCTGTTGGGTAATGGTCAGAGCTTCGGAAACCGCCTTTCGGAATAAATGCCCAGCTTCCATGCCCATGTCTAATAAGCTCCTGGACGCCTTGCCTGTCATGATTAGCTAGCGGGCCGGGCGAGCTGACGAATTGCCGAAGGACGCGTCCCGCGCTCTTCTTATCCGGGCAACTCTTCCCACTGCCACGTTTCCGTCTGCACCATTGCGCCGTACTGCACAGCGGCCCCCCACCGCCACGTGCTCGTCATCTCCACCCACGAGTCCGGCATCTCGACCGCTCGGCAGCGTTGGCGCACCCACTCTCAGCAATCGAGCCCGATCCCGCTTTGCCCGACCACGGGCCATAACCCGTCGCCCCGAACCCAAGGTCATGTCAACGCGGCCTGCGGACTCCCGTCGTCGGTCGGACGGCGTAGGGAGCTTTCGGGGAGCTGTCCCCGACTCCCGCTGCCTACGTTACTAGGTTAAAGACCCGGATTGGTCCCCGGCCTAAAGCACGTCGTCCTCCGCGTCCACTGCAGTTCCCGCAAACGGACAAACACAGGACAGGTTCTGGGGTATGACTTGGTAGCCCGCAGCATTGAAGGAGCCCTCGCTCGCCTTCCTTCCTAGCCCATGGCTGCCTCTACAGATGGCTGACACGGTCTTACGCATCTTTGGGGGCTATCTACATCTACAACAAGCCCGTCAGCTGGCTGGCCGGCTGGCTGGCTCGGAGTGGGGGATGCTAGGTGCGAATCCTTCGTCGAAGGCACGTGGAATATCCTGGGGTCGAAGCAACTTCAAACATGGGCAAAAGCGCGAGGGCTGTATGGCATAGCAGGAGAGAGAACACTGCATTATTATTAACATTTGTGCGTGTTGCGGGAAGTCAATAAATGCATGCAAGCAAGCCAGCAAAACAAAAGCGAAAGTGGCTCCTTTGTTGCATTCAGCGTACTGTATGATATTACAGTGTGATCTGTTACGGAGTCAATTTAGATGATGTAGATGCAGATCCAAATTCGGGTCAGATCTCTAGACGAGCATCTCATCTTCCCTACCAGGCAAGCTAACAGCGTGGGCAGCACAGCGTTTGTCCCGCTTGAATTTATCGCTTTCTTGACATTGAGGTCTTGTTGGATTGACTGGACTGCACCACGCCCTGAGAGAAAAACCAAGTCATCGCCCTACTAGGGACAGTATTGTGCTGAACACATGCCATCTCATCGTCCTTGCATGGGGGAAACCCAGACGTGTGATGAAGAATCCAACGGAGACGGGTTTCGATATGAAATAATTTTCGATCTAAGCTTTGGATCCATCCATATACGTACTAATACGTGAGTCTGGGTCATGGGCCATGACCCAGTAGTTGATGAGCCATGACTCATTGCTCATCAATTACTCAAACCGCAAATAAATCCAACGTATTTGTCTCAATTTTCCAACAAGTTGCAGTTAGAGTATATTGATTTTTTTTAATCGTGTTCGCTGACCCCATGATCAACATGGGCTTGAAAAGGTGCTGTAATGAGATATAGGTGGCCTTTGTTACCCAAAGTCGGACGAGCAGATGCTAGTACGATCTGGAGGTACCGTTTTAGAATGAAACTTGTAACTACAGTGAGGGACGTACGACACATTAATCACGGCATATGGAGGAAATTTTTCGAGGAATCAATGCAACCAAGGTAGGTAATATGCTTCGAATTTGGGGCTGAGTTGCCATCGGTTTCCCGTTTTAACGCGGAGGGAAACGGGCAGAATCCGTAAGAGCTGGAGCTGTGGACCTCGAGAACTGAACGTGGGCCGCAACTTTTGGCCCTCATGAGACGCAGCTCGACCGGTTGACTACAGCGGCCCATCTGCTGAAATGAGCTCAATCAGCTGGTTGAAGTTACTGGACCCGTTCTGACCAATCCACTTGGCTCCTCAGCATCAACCGAGTGCAGAGTCTGTATCAGAGTATATCCATCCTGTTGCACTGATGGAGAGGAGACTCCATCCGTGAGGACAGCGCCGACATTGTATGCTAGATTGAGTGATGAACCTTCGTTTGACTGTTACAGATAGTGTGGACAGATGCGACCAGCCTATTATTCATTCGACATTTGACGCTACTGTAAACACTTCCATGAGATCACAACAACGTGTTCCTCTGAACGTTGTACCCGCAACGAGTTGAATACGTCCTTCACACCAGACCCCACTGAACTCCGTGAACATGAAATGAACTGAAGAGGAATGGGATAGGATGTCAAGCAAAAGAAGCTAGCGTGCGACTCATCCTACATTGCTAGCAATATCCTATCCGTCCGCAGCCATATATGTTCCAGACTCAAAGTCATATACAACTCCAGCATTAAAGAAGAGCATTAGTTTTTCGATAGACCAGATTGTCTTTTGTCCAAACAGGCCATGAATGAACTCAGGTACATGAGTTGATGGGTTAAGGGTTCGGCTACAAAGATGAGTTAGATGAACTGACGATCACTCATTCTAGAGTCGATGTGGGGGAATTGGAAACGCATACCAGCCTGCTGCTAATCAAGGTAATGACATATGGGTTACCCGTGGTGAGGCATATAAATCGGTGAAGCATATCGTTGTTGATCTCTAGCTGGCCCGAATTAGCGACAACTTAATTATCTCTAGGTTAGCCACAGGGTTCAGCGAGTGAGAGGGCTTAGACATGTCCAGTTGTCTCCTCGCTTACCTACTCCGACAAACTAATACTAGAAGTTTTGCTGTCTATTAGCTAGGCAAGGCCCTTATCTGCTGTGTCTTGAAGAACTCCAGCTCAGGTCAATGTTCCCAAAATAGTGCCTAGCGGTGATATTATGCTCCAATTTAGGTGGAACTCCCACTTTGTGTGGGCTTCCAGCTTCTAAAATTTGGCAGATCCAAGAGAACCGAGATGCGTAGTATAGTCCAGTTTAATTAGCATGAGTTCGCCATTACAACTGCCAAATGGTGTTTCCAACTACGTAAGTACAGTAAAGACATGTTGTGTGAATGTACCTGGCTATTGAAGTCCCGCCGCTTACATGGGGTTCACAACGAAGGACAAAGTTGACATACTCTCTCCAAAATATAAGTCCTTAGTCTCCTTTAGTACATTGTTCCCACTCCAAGTCTCTCTCGTTTGTTCTTACACAATAAGTTTTATCGAAACCGTCATACCGGAACAATAAGGACGTTGCAAGACGTGGGAGTACCTAGGGATCCACTGTGTACAGTCAGAGTAGATAATGGACGCAGAAAGAATCAGGTTACTCCCAAGTAATCATTGATTTTTTAACGTTCATTTTCCAGGCACGATAAAGTAATCCCATCCATCATTCCTCCTCCTCCTGAGCTCCTGTTTTCTGATACTTATGCAACTGTAGACTACCATCTTAATAAGATGTACAGTGCTCATTTACACCTTATGCTCTATGCGCATGTGAATGAGTTTCACATGTACAAAGAGTGCCACATTCGTCCGATTCTGTAAGTTTTCCACAGAGTTTGATGCCATCTTGGCTAACAATAGATGTCACACAATGATAATATCTGGGATAAGAGGATACTGTGGGCAGAGCTATGTCAGCACGATGGAATTCACACAAAGAATAAACCAATAGGTTGCGAGTCATCATGGAGCAAATGATTGATTTCCAAAAACCCTATTCAGACCAGCCGATCCTTCAGTCAGTGTTCACTTAACCAGAAAGTGATAGGATATGGAATGAGCTGTAATTATTTAGAAATCAGTATATAAGTTGATGATTCTGAAGATCTAACATATGCGACATTGCTATATGGACTTTGAGTACCGACGCCACCGCGGCCGTAACTAGTTGTAGTGCAGGCTCCTCGCCTCATTGTTTTCCTTTACCTTCTCGTCAAATGATGTACTCACACATGGCCTCTCCTCACGGCCATCACCAATTTTGTGTGGTTCCATTTTACGGTTTGTCGTCTATCTCTTCAGATCATTCGTGCTGCTTTGCAACTCGTGTGCTTTTATTCTGGGATTATTTCAGAGGAAAAGGAAAAGCACCTGATTCGTGAACTTGTTCTTTTAAAAGAACTAAAGTGTCGCTTAGCCTCGTTCTTTAGCCGAGATGGGATGGAGATATCAAATTTTGTAAAAGTGTCTGATTGGCTGCTGGATGTTATACAAATTAAGGCCACGTCACAAAATCAGAATGAACCTCGATCCCCATCTTGCCGTACCTCACACCTACTTGAGCTTTTTAAAAAAAGAAACAAAATCATTTTTTCAGACTCCAAATTATTCCGCACCATGTCAGCAGGCAGAATCCGACCTTGAATTATTTAACTCCGCCTCTGCTAATTGGAGAGAGGGAAGAGTCGTAACGCAGTCCATTAGTCGAGATCAAACAAGAAGCGTGAGCTACGTCCTCTAATTGTGAGAATGTGATAATCGATTTTCCTGGTGGACCTATGTGTCTTCCATCTATTTTCAAAATATTTCCAATCTTTCCAACCTTCTCGACTTAGTGCCCTAGAAATGCACAACTTTACTTAAAAACCTTCTAACCTTTTTATGAGAAAGCGCAAGTTCCTTCAAAATACAAGTTCATTTGTTTCTTACTCTTTTGTTGATATTTCAAGTAAGTCTAGTACAAAAATGTGGATAGTCTTACTATTGTATTATTCTTTCAAACTTTATAAAGTTGATATATATGTTTTTGTCAAAATACAGTTTTTTTTCCTCTAAGTTGTCAGTATACCGAATTTACCGTAAATCACCCTACGCAGCGTGACAGACCAACCCACGATTTTTCATGTTTCATGCAAACTGAGACTGCGGAGCGCAGTGTAATTTTTTCATGTTTTTCTAGTACTTTAAAGAAAGTTATGGTGTGAGAAGTTGTCCTCTCGAGGTGGTTGGGTGTTTATTTTTGTTGAGACAGGTAATTGGAAAAGAGTCATGAACATATCCTGAGCGAGTCATGAACAAAATATAGAAAACTACAAAATCATGGTTTCTACATTCAGATTCATAGTCGGCATTTGAAGAGATACACCTC